ATGCTTCTGTTACTGAACTCCTCAAATTCTTGCACCACTCTTTAGTTTTTCTCTTCCTATCTTATCTATATCTTTAAACTTAACTATCACTTTTGTGAGCATGTGATTTTTGTTATGAGTTAGAGAACAGAATGTACTCTATTTGAACTTTTAACCCTTGCTAAGTTTTTCTTTTTTAAATGATTTTTGGATTATAAAAATTTAATAGAACAATATTTCAGAAAATTTGGAAAAGAGGAAAAATTCTCCATCTTGTCTCTTTAACACAATGATGGTTAAATAATTTGGTGTTTTTCCTTCTAAAATTTTAAAATATGCTTTAAAATTTTTAATGGTCTTATTCTTTTGTATCTGTTTCACATTATATTACATATTGTGTTATTGAATGATCTTCAGCACCATTGTGGAAGTGGTACTATAAACTTTTGAAGGTATGAACACATGGCTGTGAATTAGGTAGTATCTCATTTTTTGTGATTATAAACAGTTTTGATGACCACTTAAAAATATAACTTGGTATTGTCCCCTTTCCCCCAAATTTTACTGATTCCCAGCAAAGGAAAGTCTACCTTTGAGTTGTGGTGGTCACTTAACTAATTAATACCTTACTTAAGAAGTGTGGGGAATATCTGATTTATTGATTAAAATACAATAAATTAAAATGCTCAGTAGGTGGAAGCTATTCTTAGAACCAGTCTTTTTCTTTTCTTACATATATTTTTATTGATTTCAGAGATGAAGGGAGAGGGAGAGAGAGGTAGAAACATCAATGATGGGAGAGAATCATTGATCAGCTGCCTCCTGGGGATTGAGCCGGCAACTGAGGCATGTGCCCTGACCAGGAATCAGACCCTTGACCTCCTGGTTCATAGGTTGACACTCAACCACTGAGCCACACTGGCCGGGCAGAACCAGCCTTTTTCCTTAGAGGTTGTTGCTTTTAGTAGTATATGAGAGTACCATTTGAGTGTGACCATATACTTTATTATACGATCTGGGCACTTCAGTCCCAAACCAATGCTAAATCATGTGGAACATCAGGACAAATGTAAACTGGGATCCAGCTGTATTGAAATATACACCATCCTGTGATTAAACCACATCTTAACCATAAGTGGCATTTTTTTAGTCACATTTTTCAGGTGAAAATTACACATTTTAGTTCAAATTTATTTGATTACAAATACTGTTGAATTATAGGTTGCTTTGAATAAGCCCAATGGAGTGAAATTCTTCATTTAAAAGTAATTGTAAATATTATCTTTATTTTTTTACAGTGCATTATTCTAAGAGCGACGTTAGTAAAATTTGCTATGTAATGTCGAGTCATCCTTTCTAAAGTCATAGACAGTCTTGAGCAGTGCTCATTGAAGTTTCTAATAACCTGGCATCTTTGCAGTGTTCCAGATTACTTTGAATATTTTTTCTCCTTTCCTTAATATTAATTACTCTGGATAAATCTGCATATTTTATTATTATTCTTGTTTACCATAAGGAGAGCTGTTATACAATTCATCCAAATCTTTTTTAACAAGGGCTTATTTACTAAAGCACCCATCTGTGCCAGGCATTTTGCTTGGTGCTTGGGACACAGTGGCTTCATTGGGAAAATGTAGATATAGCAAGGCAACTATAGCATAGTGGGCTAATCTTGTGAAAGCAGTAGTATGGTGCACAAAGTGGGGACACTTAACCTGAACTTGGGGAACCTGAAAAGTTTCCAGGAAGAAGCGACTTCTGAGCTGAGACCTGGAAGATGAGTAGTATATGTTTAGCTTTTCTCTTGGCTGCCATGTATATTAGTACTGCTCTATTAATTAATATATGGTTCAGATTTGTGGTCCACCCACCTCTTGTCCTTTCTTTTTTAGAAAGATATATTTTTATTGATTTCAGAGAGGAAGGGAGAGGGAGAGAGAGAGATAGAAACGTCAATGTTGAGAGAGAATCATTGATTGGCTGCCTCCTGCACACCCCCCATTGGGCATAGAGCCCACAACTTGGGCATATACCCTCCACCAGAATCAAACCCGGGACCCTTCAGTCTGGAGGCTAACACTCTATCCACTGAGCCAGACCAACTAGGGCTCTTGTCCTTTCTATGATTAGTATTAGTAATATACCAAGAGACAAGCTTATGAGATGGTATGATTGCTGTAACTGGTCCCCAACTTTAGGCTCTCAACTGTACATGTATCTGTTTCTAGTTTTTCTAAACCTTTAAAAAATTCTGCCTGTTCTTGGGCTATATCACACTTAGATAGTAGTGAATTTATAAGTTAAGTCTTAAAAGAAACATTTTTAAAAATTTCACTTTTACCCTCAAATTTGAGGCATTGAAACCATTGTGTACATATCAATTTTACATATTAAGGTATAAGATTGATTACGACTTTCCTAGAAGACTCTTCTACATTCTTAGAAATGGTTAAATTCTCAAAGTATAGTGAGTTGGTCATTGTGTCTCAGGTAATAGTTTAATAGGGTAGTTTGTTTTGGTTACATCATTTGCATATTTTTGTTGAATTTGGATTTTTAATTTTTATTATTGTGTTGTAATTCCGTCTTAAAGATGGGGGGAGAGTGGTTAATTCAATCATGAAAATGGTAACATAATCACCACATCTCAGGATAACATGAATGTGACAATTGAACAGGACTCCAGTGCCTAAATCAGTGTCCTGAGGAGAGTTGGGGTTTGCTCCAGGAACATTAGGCAGTGTTTTGGGGAGACATGTTTGGTTGTCACCACCTGGGAGTGTGTTACTGGCAGGTGGTGGGTAGAAGGTGGTGCTGGGAAATATTCTACACTCCACAGGACAGCTTCCCACAACAAAGAATTTTCTGGCCCCAAATGTTAGTAGTACCCAGGTTGAGAAACCCTATTCTAAGTGGATTGTGGATCTATACATGGTGAATTTAAGAATGTGATGACTTACATAAGCAATTGGAAAAAAAAAAATGTGAATAGGAATTACTATGACACATGCCTGGAAATAGATTTTATTGACTTTTTGAGTTATTTGCCTCTAGTCCCCAAAGTTTTTGGTTATCCAGAGAAAAGAGTATTTATTTATTTATTCATTATAGCTCATAGAATACAGTAGGTCCTCGGGTTATGTCCGAGTTCTGTTCCTATGGCGTGACGCAACGTGATTTTTCTCGTAAGTCGGAACCCACTTACATAAGCACCTACATAAGCACCTACGTATGTCACTCACATGGAGCACATGCACAGCAGTAATTAAGTGAAACAGTAAAAAAAATTTAAAAGAAAGATAATTCCTGACCTTTACTTGTGGTAAATAAATAATAAAAAACATAAAGCACATATGTACATACGTCGAAATGACGGAACTTTTTTTTTTATAAATAAATGGGAGATGGTGATGTAACCACGAAACGATGTACGTTGAATCCGACGTAACCCAAGGACTGTTCGGATCAGTACTGCTAGAGTGCAGTTATATATTTTGGTAAGAAAGGGCCACTGGTACCAGTGCCCACTGGCCCACTGTCTAGCTTCATTGGCTCTAGCATTCTCCACTCCTCCTATTTTTGCACCTGAATGTCTATGAAATTGGGATGCATTTTTAATGCATGGTATCTTATAATTAAAATTGCCAGCCCTCTTGTCTTTTATTATACTCAGTGGAATTTTAGACTTGATAAAATAATGTTATTATGCTTTCTAATCTTACTTTGCACAGAAGGAAGTAGTAAAAAAAATAAAATTAAATTGCAATCTCTGAGAGTATTTACCTTAAGTCTATGCCGAGTGAGAAATGTGTGGCAGGAGATCGAATGACTTGCTATTTCATACTGCCTGTGTGGAGAAAGATGCCTGCATGAGTCATGGACATGGGAGCAGAGATTACATTGTTACACCTTCTTTAGGATACAGTCATTGCCAATAAGAGCTATTTCCATTCCTTCAAATAATTTGCTAAAGCGGCATGTTTTAGCCAAACATGTAGTACCCTGAGTAGCTTTACAGAATTACTTGTGAGTGAAAGTATTACAACTTTTAACTTTGAGGTTATGATACTGGGATGAGTAAAGTGTTCCCATTGCATCTAAATACTGCAGTAGGTTAGGAATAGTTCCAGTGCTTAATGAGATCAAGGGTTACAATCTAGTTCCCAGAATTTCTCCAATTGAAATATTAATTTTCAAGTAAAGTGTGTTCCTTGGACAGAGATTTAACGAGAAATCTCCATAATTTTGGAGTCTCTGTTGTCCATATATGTAGGATCCTGAAAATGCTTGATGCTTTTCCTTATGACCTAGTCTGAGTAAGGAGCTTCCGGTTTCATAGAAATAGAATGAGAAAAGAAACCTCCTGACTGTAATGCAGGCCATTGACCTCCAGGCTGTCTATTAAAACCCTGGAGGTGGATGTAAATCGTCTCTGTCGGAAATATACGGCAGTTTTGTTTTGTTTTTAATTTATTAAAACTTATATAATTAAAATTAGGGTAACAACTTTCTAAAACTTGAAATTGGTGGTTTTCATGAATGTCAAATGTCCATTAAATGATCTGTAGATGATACATTTTGAGAGGCAGTGTTCCAGTGCTTGTTGAAATAAAATTTTAAGTGTTGGGAGGAAAAAATTCTAATGACCTACCAATCTCTTCCTCCTCCTTCAGGGTTAGCCTCGAACTTTTGTACCTTTTTCTCCTCCCCCCTCCCCTCCCCTCCCCTCCCCTCCCCTCCCCTCCCCTCCCCTCCCCTCTTCCCCTCCCCCTCCCCCTCTCCCCTCTTCCCCCTCTTCCCCCTCTTCCCCCTCTTCCCCCTCTTCCCCCTCTTCCCCCTCTTCCCCCTCTTCCTCTCCCCCCCCCCCCCCCCTCCTAAGGGCCGGAGAGAGAGAGAAAGAAACATCCATCAGCTGCCTCCCATTAGTGCCCTGACTAACTGGAATTGAATCTGCAACGTTTTGGTGCATGAGACAAAGCTCCAACCAACTGAGCCATCCGGCTGAGCCACCAGGCCAGGGCCTCTTTCCCCTTCTTAAACTTTGTTCTTGTTACTGCTGCCCTTCTTCTGGCCACCCTTGTTGTTAGAGTTCCTACACCATATTTTTAGTGAAACTGACTTATTTCATTTATCCATCTATACTATTAGTACTTGGAGACACAATAGAGATAATTAACTCAAATTTCAAAACTTATTTGTGGAGGATTATCTGGTACCTGCTTTAACTCTTTGAAAATATCAGATTTCTTTCAAGGGTAATTTGACTACTATTTACTGTTATAACCATCACTATGTGATAAGCATTCAATCAAATCATTTTTTCATTTGAGGTAAATTAAAAATTGGTTGATTTTAAAACTTTATTTTTTTCAGGCGGTTTGGTTATTTGGAGGGGTTCTGCTTCATTGTAGTTAATGGCAAAGCCAGAATTGCAGTGCAGGTCTCCTGTTTTCTCAGCCTGCAACTACTCTTTTGCACTGTATTATTTTGCAAGGTAAGAAGCCAGGCCTTTGACTTCGAAGATTGATCTCCTCTTGGTAGTTATTAATAGTTTGTTCACTTTAAAGGCCCAGATAGCTATGTGGGATTACCTAGATTTTTTTTTTTTTTTTTTTTTTGGGGGGGGGGGGGGACATTAAGCATTTGCATAGTCTCAGGAATGTCACTCTGTGTGTCCTGTTCCTCTCCACTAGAATGTCAGCTGCAGGAACTTTTCTGTCTTCATCATCCTGTGCTGGACAGCACCTAAAAGTCTGGCCCATAAGAGCTTGGAATCAGTACTTGTCATGTGAATGTATGAATTTTCTGTTCAAGATTTCCTTCCCCAAAATAAAAGGAGGAAACATCTATAAGCCATTTGTAATGCCTTTATCTAACTGAGTTGTAATCTTCTCTGCAAGGAACAGACATACATCCTTTGGAGATAAAGGAGGGTGGTGTTGGTGGTGTTTGTTACGGTGGTATTACCTGGTTTGAAAATGCTTTGAAATATTGCATATACTCTGATTAAACTTAGCTTTTTAAGTAGGGATTGTTTAATCAGCCTTTGGCACATTTTCAAAAGCCTCAGCATAGTTGCTGGCCCAGTACCTGTGGACACTAGTGTCTGGGACAAATTTTTTGTTGTTGTTAATTCTCACCTGAGGATATTTTTCCCATTGATTTTTTAAAGAGGGGGGGAGGGGGGAGGAGAAGGAGGGAGGGAGGTGAGATAGACTCATCACGCCCTGACTAGGGCTGGGAATTGAACCTATAACCCAGGTACATGTTCTTGATCAAAGCTGTGACTCTTCAGGTGCAGGCCAACAATCCCACTTGGTAACATCATCCAGGGCTGGGACAATTTTTTTGGTGGAATTGGGTGGGGGAAATGATCTGAAAGAAGTTCAGTGAAAGTAAAACAAAGATAGTCCTTCCCCATAGAGTTATTTGTGCTTCCCTAGATATTTATTTATTTATAGTTGTGCAGTTTATTTTTATTCCTATCAATGTAGCCCGTAGAGGTTAATTCTATTTCAAACATCTGGCAGGATCCTGCCTGCCAATTGTGGAAGGGAATTATTTGGTCTGTTTTGTAGCCTTCCAACATCTTTCTGCAGTAATTTTCTTGGCTTACACTGTATTTCATCTTCCTCTCTAATCCAAGAGGCCCTCCATAGAAAAGCATCTTCAGGAGCTTCAGATTACTTAATGACAACTGACTCGACATGTGGCTTCTAGAGCTCTCTGTATAAAAACTTCAAAAGATAACAGGACTACTGAATTGCTTAAGGTTGGTTTTCGTGTGTGCCTGTAGAGCCTATACCTTCAAGGTGCATTTGTTACCTAGCAGAGTACCATTTGTGCTGAGCATATTTTTAGAATGTAACGTTATTGCTAGAGACCCACTTTCCCACAAATAGAGAAGGGTTATCTCTCTATTGCAGTGATTTTCAGCCGGTGTGCCTTGGTGCACTAGTGTGCTGCAAGAATTTTTAAAATGTGCAATACATGATTATGTAGTCAGGGGCACTGACCTTTTTTCCCTTAGCTTGTCAAATTAAAAAAAAAAATGACAACAGCCAACACAACAATAGTCATTTGGTGTGAATGAATTGAAATACCCCCTTTTTTGGGGGGGGTCAGATTGGCAAGAAAATCTTTAAAAAAAATTTTTGTGTGTGTGCCTCAGAATTTTAGTAATTTGTTTGTGTGCTTTGAGATGAAAAAGGTTGAAAATCGCTGCTCTGTTAGGATCACCACTCCTGGCCTTTAGAACAGTCTTGCCTTGCTAGCTCCCGTCATATCACCTTGTGGGTTAGGGCATGTATTTTCCTTTTCCCCTTGGGAATTACTAGTTTTGATCACAGAGTGATTTAGGTGAAGCCTTCATCCAGCTTCCTCATGGTAGACTTCCTGGTCTGGATAGGACAAGGGTAGGAGTGACATTCTGTTGGGTCTCCTGCTGAGAGCTGGGTGTTCTCTGGACCTTTGGCCTGTCGTTCTTGCTCTTCTCTATGGTGTATCTTTGGTGATCTTAGTGCTGTCTGTGCTACTATTTGGCTGCCACTGAACTGAACTGATTACTGACGCACACTGAGCCACTCCCCTTCTTCCCCACCACATACATACGAAGGAATGAAGTTCCGTAAAAGCCAGGACCACATTTGGATGGTTCTCCATTGTATCTGTCATGGTTACTCTCTTGAATCTTGAGGCCTTTTGAGAATTTGTGAAAGCCTTGGATCCTTTTTCTACAGGTGCATATGCATATGGTTTTGGGAAAAGGAGATTGCTACAGGAAAGGTAACATGGCCTCCTTAAAAACAAGCCACAGGTTTTCTAACCTCAGATTTATTGTGGTTGCTGTGAAGATTTCTGCTTGATCATTTTCTCAGCATGGTAACTCTGTATTCCTTATCCTATAAAAATAAGTTTGGACAAAGAGGAGCATGTAGGGAAAAAGATGGGAACAAGAGAGGGTGAATGAAGAGTGCGGTTATAAGTACCTCTGTTTCTCTGATTTAAATGCTTCAAAGGAAATTATTTGCCCTTACTAACCTTTTCTATAATCTCTGTCACTTTTAATTCTTGCTAGCTTTCTCTTCTTTTGTTTGCAGTTAAGGATCCTCTTAAAAGATTGCCTTTCAGTCTTTTTTCTTATTTTTTAAATGTATTTTTATTGATTTCAGAGAGGAAGGGAGAGGGAGAGATGGAAACATCAGTGATGAGAGAATCATTGATTGGCTGCCTCCTGCACGCCCCTTCTGGGAATCGAACCCGGAACCCTTCAGTACATAGGCCAATGCTCTGTCCACTAGGCCAAACCGGCTAAAGCCAGGCTTTTTTCTTATAGCACCTTTAATACTGACTTTCTAATCCAAATTGTCCTGATGTTTGAAGGTAAAGGAAACTATCTTTGGATATTTGAGGCAACCAGAGTGGATCATCCCACTTAGTGATACTCGGCCCATTATTGGTATAAAGCTGTTTGTTATCTATTTGAGTTTAGCTACTTCACTTGGGTGGGCTGCATTTCCAATAACCTTTACTCAGTCCTGTGGGTAAGCTGGCACTACTGCTCAGTCCTCCCTTCCATCCCCACCCCCATTCTCAGTGTTGTTTTTAAAGTCACCTGTTGGGGAGAGGGCAGGGAGCTATTTCCTTTATTTGGAAGATTTATAAATAGGATCAGGAGATAGAAGCCTACAGAGCGCAAGCAATTATATTGTTATGTGCACAGTAATAATAGAACATCCAAGATTACTTTTTCTTGAAATCTAATTTCTGTACCTTGTCTGTGTTATTGAATCTTTTCTTCATTATACTGAATATAATTAGCTTATAGGTTTTTTTCTAAGAAGTATTTTTCCTCTTACAATTTCTTTTCATGGTAGATTGTTTTTTGACCATATTCACATTTGTACATATGAATTCTATTTCATAAAGTGGATGTTACAAATTCATAGTCCTTTTTGTTTAAGTCACATATACAATGTCTAATCTCTTTCTCCATTTTCCTGATTTTTTCCCCTACTCCCAATATGGAGATGGAAAAAGGGGATAAGTTTGCACAACACTCTAGGACCACTGTAGTCAGACCCAATTCTCCAAAAATTTTTTGACTCTGGTAACCTACACTGGATTATAGGTAGCATTTTTGAATAATAGGTGATGTTGCAAATCTGTTGAGCTCTTTAGTTTATTCAGTGTATTGAGCTCTTGTGAATTATTTAACTACAGTATGAAGTAGGTACTATTTTCTCTCCCATTTTACAACGGAGCAGATCCAAGCTCAGATAATTTGTAGTAGGTTACACAACTACTGTGTGATAAAGATGGTATCTTTCTTAGCTTGGGCTGCCTTAACAAATACCATAGACTGGGTGGTTTAAACAATAGGAATTTATTTCTCATAGTTCTGGAGACTGGAAGCCTAAGATTAAGGTGCCAGCAAATTTGGTGTCTGGTGAGGGTTGTCTCCTTAGGTTGTTCACAACCACCTCCTCACTGTATCTTCACTTCAGTCCTCAGTACTGTCTGTGGGGAAAACATACACGTGCGCACACACATGCGGGGATGGGGGGGGGGGCGGAGAGATATTGCATGTTTTTCTGGTTTCTCTCCTTATAAGGGCACTAATCCCATTGTGAGGGCCCCATGCTCATGACCTCAGCTAAACCTAAGAGAGAGACAGAGAGAGAGGGAGAGAGAGATTGCATGCTTTTCTGGTTTCTCTCCTTATAAGGGCACTAATCCCATTGTGAGGGCTCCACCCTCATGACCTCAGCTAAACCTAATTATTTCCAAAGGCCTCATTTCTAAATACCATTATATTGGGGGTTAGGCCTTTAATATATGAATTTGGGTTGGGTCACAATTTGATCTATAGAAGATGGTATTCAGACCAGGTTGGAAACTTGAGATTCTAAGTAAGTAGTCTGGCACACCATCCTATTCCCTGCTTCCAAAGTTTAGGAGTGCTGGTACCCAGAAGGCAAGTTGGCCAGCAGTAGTGAATTCTATCAGTATGAGTGTACATACTCCTTTAGTATCATATTTATTGCACAGTTCTTTTGCCAAAAACACACAAAATCAAACATCCAAAGAAAACATGGAAAATAAGAGTAAATATAAGAAAACGAAAGTCATCTATGACCTCACTCCCTGGAGAACTATTGCCATTACCATTTTAGTATATTTCTTTCCAGTCTTCCTCTTTAGGAGAAAGGACTTACATAATGGCTTTATATGATTCATAGTTTTATGTTCTGCCTTTTTTCTTTTAGCATCTCATCATTCCATGCCAGTTATATTTTTTAGAACCATTCTAAATGATTTTTGCCTTGAAGAAAACAAATTTGAGAGCTTCCAAGAAGGTAGATGATGATATGAGCTTAGTGTGGGAGAAGTAGTCAAGATTGATGACTCAGAGCCCCTCAACGAGAGAGAAAACATAGAAGTGGCAGGTGTGAAGGTGGAATTGATAAATTCAGTGTATACTTTTACAGAATGTAGTACCTATGAGTCCCCCTGAAAATGCTCATTAAGTAAAGAGCCATCTGGACTGGATGTCAGTTTTTTAAAATTGTCATCATCAGCCCTGGCTGGTGTGGCCGAGTTGGTTGGGTATCATCCCATTCATCGAAAGGTTGCTGGGTTCGATTCCAGTCAGGACACATGCCTGGAGGTGGATGTAAATCATCTCTGTTGGAGATATACGGCAGTTTTGTTTTGTTTTTAATTTATTAAAACTTATATAATTAAAATTAGGGTAACAACTTTCTAAAACTTGAAATTGGTGGTTTTCATGAATGTCAAATGTCCATTAAATGATCTGTAGATGATACATTTTGAGAGGCAGTGTTCCAGTGCTTGTTGAAATAAAATTTTAAGTATTGGGAGGAAAAAAAATCTAATGACCTACCAATCTCTTCCTCCTCCTTCAGGGTTAGCCCCAAAAGGGGGCGGGGTCAGCTGGCCAACCTCCTGCAGCCCCTCCCCCTGGCCGACCCCTGATTGGTCCTTGATCCCTCCCCCCAGCCAGCTGAGTCCTCAATTGGCGCCCCCCACTCCAATCGGGCAGGGCTGGCTGGCCAACCACCCATGGCCCCTTCCCCAGGCCACTGGCCCCCGATTGGCCCCCATCACCCCGGTCACCCCATTCGGGGGCAGTCCGGCCAACCTCCCACAGCCCCTCCCCTAGCCCCATTCAGGGGCAGGGCTGGCCAGCACACAGCCCCTCCTCACGGCTGGACTGGCCCTAATTGGACAGACTGGGGCAGACCCACTGGCCAACCTCCCACTGTCTCCTCCTCCTGACAGGCCCAGCCCCAATCTGCTGATTGGGGCCGGCCGGACCCCACCCGTGCATGAATTCGTGCACTGGGCCTCTAGTATTTTAATAAGCACCTAACTGTGCCGGCATTACTTTAACACCTGATACAGAGCTGTAAATGTGACATGGGTGTTACCTGTCCTCTTGAAAGAGTCTGTTGCATGAAAAAAATATATTTTTCTAAATCTCTAAATTCTCATTTGGTCTTCTAATATATCAAGCTCTTAATTGTTGCAAGAGATAGCAGTGGCCAGTAGGTTATTCTTTAAATGAGACTTCTTTGTGGTGAGAGGTAAGGGGTCTAAAACTCTTGGTACCGTGAAGGTGAATTCACTTTGTATAAACAGATCTCAAATGGCATTGTACAATTAACTTAGTCGCTGTTATCTAATATCCACTTATGTGCATGTGTTTTTATGACCAAGGGCATATATATTTCAACTTCTGATAACCGCAAAGAAATAGGATCTCCTGGATGTGTTTCATGAATTGGGTAAGAAGATAACAATATGAATTTGTTACAGTTTGTACGTGTTATTTTATTATTTTCTGTGAAGAATCTAGTTCATTTCATAGAAGACTTCTTGAGACACATTAATTATTGATTTCCAATAATTTTCAAAACTCTTAAAAGGTTTAAAAGCTGGAGTGACAACCCCCTTCCTCCCATTCCCTTGTTCTCAGCTTGGTATTAAGAAGAGATTATTTGCCAGAATTCATCAACATCTTAAAGAAGAAATTAAATCACTAGGACAAATGAACTATTTAAATATTTTCTGTAAGATTATTAAGAAAGGAAGTATTTTTGTTACTCCAATTTAAATGGAATAGGTAGAGTAGAAATTATATTGGACACTTTATTGTGAAAAATTGAACTGTTACCACACTTGTTAGGCAGTCACGGGGGTGGCCTTCATAACAGATGTACTAATTGGAAGAAAAAAGGATGAATATGTGGTACAGACTGGGTGACGATAATATGAAAGTTTTAAGAAATGTGTGTACTCCATTGTTCTCTCCACCCAAAGAAGACTCGTATTTAATTCTTTTTCCAAATGCACATTCTGTTTGCGTAAATCTACATCTGCTACTAGCTTTGAACATTGCCTGAAACGTATGTGCAGCTTGGCAGAAAATCTGATATGAAGAGAAAAGTACAGGATCATTTGTCTTGTTAAATAATGGAGCAGAGTCTTCACAGTTCCTAGTCTCCCCGTGCTTGCTGGTGTCCCACGGTGCTGCTGGGAAAGCGGCTTGTGATTATTTTCTTAACAGTCCTGCATGGGTTAGCCCTCTGCTAGAACAGATAGGAGATTCTGATGTATTTCACTTCCCTATTCTGTTTGTTGAAATCATTGATTTGTTTCAGAGTTGTGGAGTTTTGTTTGTTTGTTTGCTTTTAAAGCTATCTCTTGATTGGGCTTAATTTGTTTCTCTGCTACAAAGTGTGTGTACTAGATCTGGTCTCTGTTCCCTTACTTGATGTGTTTGTACAGGTCATCTGTGATCTGAGCCAGTTCTTAGTTATAAAGCAGTCTTGGCATAAGTTTCAAATAGTAACATAGAATGAAATATTTTAGGAGTTTGATTACATATTTGCTATAATTATCAACTTTGACATTTAAAAATCTTTGAAGGCAGTTTCATCATTTAAAATTTTACTGGACTGGTAAATTATTGGTTAACTTAGTGGTAGTATCAAACAGGTACATGCTGTGGTTTCTGAAAACCTTTAGAAATTGTGGATTTCTGTTGTATTTCTTTATGCTTTATTTATTCAGAAATAATTTATACTTTGCCAGTAAGAAGAGATGAATTTTTGTAAATGGGTGGTTGCCTGGGCTTTGAAGTCAGATTCTGAAGTAAAATTGAGTCCTGCCACTTTACAAGCTGTGGGAAACAGCTTTCTAAAAGGATTTCAATAATCGTGATTAGCTCGTTAGAGTTATTGTGAGGAATAAAGTCAGATAACATATGTAGATCACTTAGCAGGAAATCTGACATAATAAGTGCTCACTAAGTGCTAGTTTCTTTCTTGGTGCTTAGCTCTACCCTTTCCCTTCAGGCTATACAATCTCTATATATTTCAAATATAATTTTATAACATTTTAGGATTTGATACAGTATTAAGTCATTAAGACAATAGATCCATTAAATTTATAAAATTTAGATTAGGTTACTTTGTCCTTTAAGAGTTCCCTAATGAGATATCTGTAAAACATTTTCTTCCCCTTGATCTGAGGGAGCTCGAGTTTTAGAGTATACTGCAGCTGTACAGTAACTGTCTACTTTCTGCTCATCCCTAGCCTGGCCAACTATGGGCTGTTCTTTGTTCCTGTTTTTCAGAGAGAGATTGTGTTTCATGAGGGCTCCCTTAAAATAATGAAGTAAAAAAGATAATTTTAAAAATGAGAGTGAGAAATTGAAGGTGAAAAGAATGCTAGCTAATTATTTGACTCCTACTGAAAAGCTTCTAATCCATTGTCCTCCTGGTGATTGTTTGGCAGAGTAACTATAGCATTTAAATATAGGACAACATATTATTTTCAGTGTTTTCATATTTGGAAACAAAACCAGAGAAAGCCCAACAAATGTGGTGGATTTTTAAAAAATATATTATCTATTTTAGAGAGTAAGGGAGGAGGAGGGCAAGATAGAAACATCAGTGATAAGAGAGAATCATCAATCAGCTGCCTTCTGCAAGCCCCCTACTGGGGATCAAGCCTGCAATCCAGGCATGTGCCCTGACTAGGAATCAAACCTTCACCTACTGGTTCATAAGTTGACGCTCAACCACTGAACCTGGTTGTGGTGGATTTTTGAAAGGAATAGTTATTGCGCATCCTGCCTCAGTTAAGACAGTTTTTTCTCTCAGCTATTTAAAATTGACTGTTTTGCAAAGGCTATCTGGAAAAAGTGAATATGAATATATTGATGCCAGACTTCGGGAAATTATTTAGTTTTGTAAACCAGGCTCTTCTTTGCTTTGGAGAGACTTAACAAATTAAGACAATTGCAAAGGTTGGAGAGATTTTTAAAACTTCAGCTCATTTTTACAATCCTTCAAAGTTTTGTAGCACCACCTCAGTTACATCTAAGTGTAGCTTTTGTAGAAAATTGAATTGGCTTAGTAGTAACTACTAATTTGTCTTTGGATTTCATTTGCTGTGTACTACTTCGATAGGGTGTTAGCTTTTTAAACTACGAATGTTTCAAAAGTTCTTTTCTAAACTTTTCACTATGCAATTCTGAGCCCTTCTGTTGAATATTATCATAAACTCTAAAATAGTCCCCCCTCTAAAAATTTTTCCCCCTTGCAGTTCATCTTTGAGAAATTCCCCAGGATTATTTAGCCATTAACTCAGAAGTGAGTATCATTGGTTGAAATTGCTGCTTGGGTTTCTGTTAAATAAGAGAACTTTACAACGAAAATGAAAGCGTGTCTAACCTGGACCAGCTCTACAAAATTGCCTATAAGTGCTTGTTTCTTACTTCATTGACCTGCATTAACTCAACAGTGCGGGAGTTGAGGCACTTTATGGCTCCATTTTTCCTTTTCCTCTTGTTTCTTTGAAGAGATTCTCTTTGTTCTTAGGTGTGAGGCACTCCCTAGATAGGAGTGAACCTTATCTCTGCCTAGTCACATCGTTTATATCCTCCTATTAAATAAAACTCCAGCCCAGGAACATGAGGCTGGCTGGCATGAGAAGGCAAACAGTTCCAGCTCCCACTTGCTACAGCCTGTGGGCTGACACAGCATTGTCACAGTCACTTCCAGACAATATGAGCCTGAACCCCATGCCTGGTAAATTAGTGCTATAGCTCAGTTGGGTTTCTTGTTTGTGTACCTACCCACCCTTAATAAAACTCCTGAGAGAGACTAGCATAGTCACCCAAGCAATGGCATTTGTCCCGGAGATCAGAATCTGGAATGACCATTCCTTATTTTTTTTTATAAAATTTACAAAATTTAGATGTCACCATTTCAGGATTTTTTTCTTTGTCTCTTCTGTAGGCCAGAGAGGTGAGTAGGTGTGGTGGCTGAGATCTCTTCATTAATGGTGCTGCCTAGAAGCACACTGTTGAGACAGTTAGTGCAGTGGTCGCCAACTTTTCAGACCTCACCGACCACCAGTGGCCCACGGACTATAGGTTGGCGACCACTGGTTTAGTGGACAGTCTGCTCTACATTTCTTATCTCTACTTAGGTTTACTAGGATGCTTTTGCAGGTTTTTGGTTTTGTACTTTTGAAAACTTGGGTTGGAGGAGGAGAAAAAACTGAGTGGATTGAGGAAGACAAGGACTACATATCAGAAGGACACAGACCTAAAAGTCTGCAGAGATAAAGCAATTCACTTGGCTGTTTGTGAGTTGCTTCTTGTTCCTTGGCTTGTATATACATAGAAAAAAAAATCACTTCTTAAGAATTTTGTTGAACCAAAATGACCTTTTCAAACCATGCAATTATTGGAGTTTTATATGAATGATCCTGGAAAGGACTGGCCCTCAGTGCTCCCCAACTTTACTTTGGAGCTCAAGCACCCCATCCTTACCTTGTCACAGATCACTTGTAGTCCTTGTTTTTTCATGTGGGGTCTCCAAGAGGACATTGTATCTTCTTTTTTGTTTGTTTTTTTTAGGTTGTGTGTTTTTGTTTGATTTTTAAAATTGGGGTGTTAATTCCAAACCAAGATAGAGAATGTCTGGAAATTTCACATAGAATAGGCCCAGCACATATTTTTTTTGTGTGTAATAGTGAAATATCATTGCATTGTAGATTTTCAAAAGCATTTTTGTCAACTCGCCTCTCATTGATCTTAACTGTTAAATTTTTATATGCATCTATAATATTTAGGACATATGAAAATTTTAATGACCTTAAAAACAAGTTTTTATTGAAGTCTTGCAAAATCTGTGTCATGGTTTTCTGAGCTGTAGAAGCAGAAAGTGGAAGTGCCTCCCTCTGTCTCCAGTAATATCTCTCTATTTCTATATTCTGATTCTCAGAAATAAATACAATGGAGGATGATGGTAGGTAACTCCATAGGATGGCAGGCCTCATCCCTTAGTCTCTTCTCTTGCTGAGAGAAACACTTCATTTTCATTCTTTTCCTTATCCAGTGGGCTGTAAGGTAGGTAAGACTCTGGATGAAGAAGGAATTTGGAGGTTTGCTACTAATCATATAGTTCTTTACTGCCTGCACCCTGAAAATGCTATTGGGGAGACTTAGTAAGATATTACAGAATATCTTTCAGAGAAATGCATTGCTTTTTAAAGTATTAATATATGCTGCCTCAAGGCCTGTTTTAGTTTATAGAAAAATCATTAACTTATAGTTACCATATCTGATGAACAGTGTGGAGTCATAGCATTTTGTCTGGGATGAGCTCAGATCTTTCTGGAGATGGGAAAACTAAGCATCAGAGAAGGCTCATTAACTGGACAGCAAGATTCCCCACGGGAGAAATCTCAGAGCTGGCATGAGAACCTCGATCTCTAGATTCAAGTCTTTTCTTCTTTTCTACTAGAATCTAACTTCGGTCTATGTTATAGCTAAATGGTACACTAACATGTGCTTTGGAAGTATTGATTGTTTAAAAATTATCCTAGAAGATCATGTTTGTACTGTCAATTGCTTGGTAATCTCTCCCCATCTCTTCTTCCCTGTCCCTTTAAAATAAATGGTAATTTGTCTGGTTCTCCCTTTACTTGTGATATTGAAACTTTATTTGTAAGTTAAATTGGATTAAATTTTGTTGGCCAAATATGATTTTACTTTACTTTCAAAAAGTTATGGAATTTTAAAGCAGTAAGAAACCATAGCAGTGGTTTTGTCCTAAATTTATGTGACTGATATGAATCTGTTAAACTAGCTGGGAAAGGGGTCTCGTGTGCTAAAGGGACAAAAATTTAAGAGAAAGATAATTGATATATTATTATTATTAATTTTATTCCTCTTCTTGAGACCATCATATTGTGTATAAAAGGAAAAATGGAAAAAACAATGTAATTCTTTCTAAAAATATTTTTATTAATTTCAGAGAGGAAGGGAGGAGAGAGAGATAGAAACATGAATGATGAGAGAAAATCATTGATTGGCTGCCTCCTGCATGCCCCCATTGGGGATCGATCCCGCAACCCAGGCATGTGCCCTTGACCGGAATCAAACCTGGGACCCTTCAGTCCCTAGGCCAACACTCTATCCACTGAGCCAAACCGGCTAGGGCAGTGGTTCTCAACCTTCTGGCCCTTTAAATACAGTTCCTCATGTTGTGACCCAACCGTAAAATTTTCATTGCAACTTCATAACTGTAATTTTGCTACTGTTATGAATCGTAATGTAAATATCTGATATGCAGGATGGTCTTAGGCGACCCCTATGAAAGGGTCGTTCGACTGCAAAAGGGGTCGCGACCCACAGGTTGAGAACCGCTGGGCTAGGGCATCAGTGTAATTCTTGAGTAGTTGATGAGTTGGCTGTTATTTTTTAATTATGAAATATAGAACCTCCCTTGGAATAAGCAGATTTATAACTTCTTTGCCTAGAAACAAGTGTTGAAAAATAAGACCGTATCCATCCAAGGAAGGTTCTTTTACACTTTATGATCCTGAATTTTATTTGCTTTGTGAAATTGTAGTGTTATAACCAAGGAAATGATAGACATATAACCTTACTTTTGTTGAAACCTGATTGTGCTTTAAAAATGAAATGGTTAGATTTTGAATTAAGAAATATATTTACTCAACATAGTTATGCTTTCATTATGTAGAAAGAGCTTAGATGTTATATTGACTATAAAGTTTTCTACTCTATCACATATTTGCTATTCATTATTGGGTTATATTGCTCTTCTAACGTTTTATTTATTGTCAGTTTGCACCTATTTTTCTAGTAATGCTGCTTTATTATATACATTGTAGTTATTAATCTGACAGAAGCAAAAGTCATCCAATCTTTTTATTCCATACATGGAGATTAAAATAAAGCTCTAGTCTAATAAAAATATTATATATTAACACAAAGCAACACAGAAATAAGAAAAAGGAATTCTTTTTTAAATTTAGCATATGCAGCAGGGGGCACCAGATGAAGGCAAAAATGAATTCTTATATTTTAAGCCGGCTACAGCTTGTATCCTGTTCATATTTAAATAATGTGGTAGTTGTTTCCCCATTAGTTTTCTTAATGGTTTTAACTTTTCAGTTCTCAAAGCTGTGTTGAAGAAGACATTGATAACAATTCTCACTTATTGATTCCAATGAAATTTCTTAAAGCCAGTTTAGTAATTAACACAAATTTTTTTTCTTAAGCATATACTATTTTTAAGGTTTTCAAAGGGGGAGTGGAAACTACATTTAATAAATCATCTCTTGTTTAGCACAGGTATTACTGTGTTTTTAATACCTTTTCTACAAAATGTTTTTTCACTGATTAAAAAAGGAAAGTCCCAGTGATTTGAAATGATTTGAAATCTTATTTTTTTCTTTGTATGTGAGCTGAATGAATTTTAAGTCTGGAAACCTGTTCCCTTTAGCTAATAAATAGTTGTACAGAAATTATATTGATGGCATAATTTAATAATTTCTCTCTTATCCCCCTCCTCCCCTTGTTTAGTCCAATATCAGATGGAGATGATGCGGAGCCTTCGCCATGTCAACATTGACCATCTCCACGTGGGCTGGTACCAGTCCACATACT